GAGGTTTCTTTAGTGTCGAGTGAGCACGTTTGTGGAAAAAGCTCTTCGCTTGGGCTCACCGGCTCAGCTGGCTGAGGGAAGGAAGCCCCAACATTCTTGAGTGGGAGAGCAGCCCAAATTCCAGGTGTGAGATGGGAAAATCTTCGAGGTAGGCTTCTGTGTTTGGAACAGCACCCTGGGAAAAGCTTAGCCTGTCGTTGCCTTTGGGAAAGACTGACTCATGAGTTGGAGCATGCCTGCGGCTCCTACAGCTTGTTTCTTGGCTGTGGCCCAGAGAGACTCATGAGGACAGGCATACCGGCTGTGCACAGACTCCCTGGCCAGCCTTCAGCCTGTGCAGTCAGGGGGCTTTTGACAGGCAACCTGAGCCCAAGCTGGGCGTCCCTTTGAGGACACCCACCTTCCTGGATGCCCTCTGCAGGCCTGTTATACAGTGAGAGAACCCCACTCAATAAAAGCCTCCATCTCTCCTATGTCTGGTCCCTGCATCTGTCCTGCGGAAAGGGGCTTTGGCGCCAAAGGCCCTGTTGTCCAGAGGTGTCCATGTGCTATCCGTATGGATCCAGGCTGGCCCTGTCCTGCCGTTTCATTGCAGGCCTAACCCCATCTCCGTTGCTCCCACTGTGGTAGACTTCAAAGAATAAAGTGGCCACTCTAAGGTTCAGACTAGTAACACCTCTGTTAAACCTCCCCCCAGCTCTTGTTTCTACTTCCTCCTCTGTCCAGCCGGTGCAGCAGCATCACTACCTCCAGGCATGACCTAGCATCTTCTCATCTCCTTTTATACTTCTGTCCCAGAATCCCTCTGGGCATCAGGACTTTGCTCTTCTGGCTCCCCCTTTCCTCTTCATCCACGTCCATCCCCATTCCCTCAAGTTTGCTTGTTCTTTTTTGTTTTGTTTTGTTTTCCCTGCATGGCCAGGTTGGACACTCATACAATCCCTGTCAAGTTTTCATGGTATCAGGCTGGCTTAGAATAGCGGTCGGAACGAACCTTCAGGCTCCCACACTGACACTTGAACTCAGCTCGGGCCGGCGTGTCTGCTCCACACTCTGGTTCTCCTTCCAGAGGGGACGCTTTCTCACAGGTTGTTTTCTGAGCTGCTCTGAGACAGAGCAGAAGGTTGTGCGGTCTTCCAGGAGTGAGCTTCTGGACACCTCTGGGCTGGGAACTGCACCGACATTCTCTCTCCAGGCTCCCCGGGGGCTTTGGAGCAGATGTTTTTCCGACCTTGGAAGCGCTCTCACATGGAATTTGACTGGCACACCCCTTTCAAGGGAAATGAAGCTGAAGAAACCAGGGAGGGACCTAAAAATGTAGTTTATTCAAGAGTAAAGAGAATTGATTCTCTGAAGAGTCATCATTCTTTCTACCTTCCCCCCTTCTCAGAGCAGGGAAGGATGGTTTCCCCCCTTCTCAGAGCAGGGAAGGATGGCTTCCCCCTTCTCAGAGCAGGGAAGGATGGCTTCCCCCCTTCTCAGAGCAGGGAAGGATGGCTTGGGGTGGGAGCAGTGCGGTGGGAGCAGTGAGAGTAACCCAAGCAAGGCCATTTTAATTATGAACATGTACAGTGGAGCAAACACACACACACACACACACACACACACACGCACGCACACACACACGCACACACACACGCACACACACACACGCACACACACGCGCACGCGCACACGCACACGCACACACACACACGCATGCACGCACGCAATGAGGGGAGGAAATGGGGTAAAGGAGGGAAAGACCATAAGGGTGGGAGAGAGAGTTTTCAGTGAATTTGCAGAGCAGAAAAGAAGTTGGCCTCCTGGCCCCCAAAATTTTAATGGCATACTATCCTCCTGGGATCCCTCCCGGTGTCTAATACTTCCATCAAAATTTCTTCCTGACCACGACAGCAAGTTCACCTTTTCCTGTCCTCGTCACAGAGGAGGCACTGTGTAGTTTTTGGTCGCGTGACGAAAGCCACCACTGTTCGTTCTCTCCTCCACGTGGGCCAGCAGAAAACCCACTAGATTTTCTCCCTTGCCTCAGATACTCTGCGCGGAGGAGGCTGTCACTCGAGGCTCACAGGGGACCCCATGAGTCCCTTCTCCTTCCAGCTTCCTCCATCTCCATATTCATGAGAATGTCTCTGGAGCAGCAAGTTTTTAAAATGTCCCTGCAAAATGCAATGTGACCATACTGACAGTTTCCAGGACTGTCTGTCCGTGGGTGTAACCCATTACGTTCTGTTTTCTCAAATGCCTGCCCACCTGTGACTTTATTTTGTTCTTATTTAACTCCATAGTGAACTGATTTCTTGTCAGTCAAGGAGATCACTTGTGGCTCAGTCCCGCGTCCCCCTGGTTGGAAAGAGAACCACATAAGCACACCATAAAAAGCCTCCAGGGAGCCATCTTTGCTTTAGGTACTTGCTCCAACCGTAAGTGAGAAACAGTAAGATCAAAGGGTTCATACCTGAATGGGAAACTTTCTGACTTCAGGCACAACTTTCTTCCAGAACCCTCTGCACTATCTGCCAGGAAACAAACCAAGCCTTAAAATCCCTCCCCAAACAGAAACCTCTGTCTCCAGGATCAGAAAGTAATCAAGTCGGCTTGCCGTCATTACCTAATCAGCCCTGTTCCGTTATCACTCCCAACATCCTCAACTTTTCCATCCCACAGACTCTCCCATTGGCTCTACATGAATCTTGGCCTCCTTTCATTGTGCCTGCAAAGCATCTCCAGCTGCCACACCGTGTCCTCCTCCCTTCCTCGTCATCCCATAGACCTCCTTAGTAGAATCAATTCCTCTGGTACCCTACAGCCCTCCCCACCGCAATATCTAAAATACGGCTCCCTGCCTGCAGGGCTCCTAAATTGATTGGACTCCACAGTAGTGGGGACCCGCACTTGTCCCCTGAATGTTTTCATTCCCAGAACAAGGCCTGAAGCCAGGCAATGCTCACACATGGTCCTGGAGACTTGGGAGGAAGTTTGATTTTCCATTTTATCTTTGGATGGTTGGATGGACTCGTGGTAGCACAATGAAAGATGGGCACTTTCAGTTCCCTGTAGGGGGAGGATGCTGTCTTGAGCATGCGCTATGATCCACGCCAGCTTGCGCATACCTACTCACCTGTACAGAGCAGCTCCCACAGCATAGCAGGGCAGGAGCTGCCCTGTCTCATTTGTCATGGGGAATCTCATGGCAGCTCATAGTTCTCTCTGGTTTTCAGCATCCCAACACAGATGTGAAAGTCCCAGTCGGCAAAGGTTTGAAGAGTCAGAGAGCAAGCGCAATTTAGAGATAAGGTCCTTTGTTTAATTTTTCTGATGAGCTCAGAAGGCAGATCATCACTTCTCTGTCCTGAAATAGCACAGTAAGACAGACCTGGGTGTGGGGCTGCCCCCCCCTTTAAGTTTCCAAGGGATCTGAAGGGCTGTGCCCTCTGCAGACTACAGGTGCTGGCACACACAGCACCCTCTGCAGTGCCCAGGTCGGGCTCGAAGACACCAGCTTGGATCCTGAGAGGAATCAGGATGGGGTTCAGCTTCTCGGGCACCAAGAACAGCTCCAGGGCCAGAGGCAAAGTGTGCACTGAAGACTTCGAGGGTCACAGCAGAAGTTAGCTGCCCAGGTGTAAGATGAGGTCCCGGGGAGGCAGGACAAGTTATGAGGTCCAGGAACCTCTGGATTGCTGAAGCGTGTAGAACAATCACATGAAATCACATGAAAGCGTTACCAGGGACCCCAGATTCGAGCAGTCAGAAACACAGGCTGAACAAACAGACAGATCTTTATTCACAGTCAGAAAGGTCCTAACCTAAAATTCTAGAAGTGAAACCCAATGTCTTTTAAAAATGGAAAGTCTTAAATCCATCAGACCAGCTGACAGGGCAAGGTTCTCCATTAAAACAACAATAACAACAACAACAACAAGAACACCACAAAAGCAACCCAGTCTCTCCCCACTCCTAGCGCACCTTCCACCCTCTAGAAAACAAAAATAAAAAAAAAACAACACAGTTAAAGCCAGGCACACTCACGCACATTCAGATTAGAGACAAAATACCAAACACCCAAGGAGGCCCAGGGATTGCCTAAGGTTTCTCACGAGCTCTCCAGCGCTCTTGCTTTGTTCTAAAGGAGAAGAAGTAAACTGGAGCTGACTAAGCCTGGCTTCTTGGCTTCTCAGCTCCAGCTGACCAGCTGGTAGAGAAGGCCGCCACAACCAGGTGGCTGAGGTGAAGCCAGATGCTCTCAGACACGACTGTGAGTCTGGGCACCATGACACAGTCCGACGTTGCATCTGATATAAAATCAGTCTATGAAGAAATTAGGAAGGCGTGTAGGGGCCATCTTTTGAGAAAGGGTGTCTAAGATTTTTTGACTTGGAAGAGTTACAGATCGTCAACTTAAACCTATTGTCTGGATCAAGGCCTCCCGCACTCCCTGGAGAATAATTTAGCGCTAGCCTCTTTCACCAGTGCTCTTCCCTGCAAAGACCCTGCTGAGAAATCCAGAAAACTCAGATGATCGGACCCACCTCGCTCCACTGCAGTCCCCCAACATGGGATGAGAGCCTGGGACACCGGTTTCTCTGCCTCATCCTACAATGTTTTTGTTTTTTGTTTTGTTTTGTTTTTGTTTTACAAATTTGTAAAATAAATAATCCAGAATACAATGACAATCCAAGACGAGGGCGATTGTGAGCCTGGAATGTGTTCTGCCTCTTAACAGTGACATATTAAAGTCACACCTGCAGCTCATTCCCAGGGAAGGGAGTGATGCAAAGGGCGGGAGGGGCTGGAGCAGGGAGGGACCCCCACACAGAGCTGGAATCGCCCCATTGCTTACCTCGTATATATTACCGTTTTCTTTATAAATAGTACATATTGGACTCAAGAAGCCACAATAAAAATGCCAAAGACTAAGACATTCCCCTCATAAATATCTAAATATCATAGCCACATGGAAACTAGACGTTTTACTGAGAGATCTAGCTGCCATGATAGTCAAGAGCCACATCCCAGCCCAAGCCAGCTACTCATTCCATCGGATAAGGAGGCCAAGAAGGGAAGCACCCACTTTGTAGTAGGTTCATGACAGAGCTCCTTTCAATAAAAGCCAAATTAATGATTTGATTTCCCCACTCCCAGGCATTTGTTACATAGGCCAATGTTCAAGGTCACATAAAATAGACCAATAAGTGTAGTTTAGATGACTTGACATTCTCAGGGTCACATCTGTCACATAAAATGGACCACTCAGATAAGTAACCAGGTCCAAAGGCTTGTCTGCATTGACTGCCCACTTACTGCTGTGACCGCTTGGTGGTGCCATCTCTTGGACAAGAATATGAACCGTTGCCACATCTGTGTGGCAAACAGCATTCTATGGCTAGTGAGCAGAACTGGGCATTTGGACTGAGGTTTAACTTGGCCATTCCAGTAAAGGTATCCCAGGGAATTTGGGTTCTAATTTCTCTGTTCTTCACTATTTAAAGTATATTAATTTATCAATCACATGAAAATCACTTTGATTAGATGACAATCATCTCTCTTAAAAAAAAAAAAACCCAACCAATCAACAAACAAAAAACCTGGAAGAAACAAGAGCATCCCTTCAGAAAAGCCATTCAGTGGTGAACCATGTAGACACTGCTCCCAGGAGCTTTCAGAGCTCGTCCCTTGAAGGCGCAGTGTCCAGAGAAGTCGGCGGCGGCAGTGCTTCTGTGTTCTTGCTGTGGATGTGTCCTTGCTTCCGGGACTTCCAGGAATGTGTCCTGTCCCAGTCAGTGGCCACTGTCTCGTTGTCCCAGATGGTGGACGTTTCTGTGTCGCTCAGATAGCCAGGCTGGCCCGTGTAGTGCGTGGGGTAGATGAGCAAGGGCTCCACGGAGAAAGCTTTCAAGTCTCTGGATTTGTAAAACTCCTTGTACTCGGCTCTGCAACGAGAGGTGCACAGGTGCATGAGGGCGGGCGCCTCGGGGAGCAGGGAAGGACCCTGAAGCCACACAGGTTCATTCCCCACTTTGCAAAGTTGCATCGATTGTAGAGGACCTTAGGCTACAAATAAGGGTTTTTTTATTTTTTTATTTTTAAGGCTTTCAGAAGATCTGTACAAACAAGCAAAAAGGCCAGGCCCAACCTGTTGCAGGTGGGTAGAAGAGTTTAGTGAAGCTCAAGTTTGGAGCTTCAAATCTTGCTCCAAAAGGTGAATGTTAAACTCTGCTGGACTCCCAGTGATAAATAAACATGATCAATGCACAACCAGTGTCCTATTCCTGATAAACAAATGACAACTGAGACCCCGACATCAGCAATGTGGTAAGTGACGGTAGAGGGACATCTTGACTTTCCTCCAAGGGCTTCTATGAAAGTTATGTGAAGAATACATAGTGTCTTTGTCTGTGAGAGAAGTAAACATTAATTAAATCGCTACTGATTTCCCTTCTGTTTCAGGAGATAATGGTTTGATTCTCTGTTTCCACCAGGGTTCAAAGGTAAAGCATGCCACATAAAAGATGACACATAGCTAGTTGCATCTTTACTGATGAAATAAAATGAACAAGTTGCATCATGGGAGCCTCAACAGCTAAAGTGAAGGTCAGAGTTGGAGATCACTTAGATCTGAGAGAAGGAACCACAGTTAGAAACTGGTCTCCTGCTTCACTCACGAGTTTAGGAGACACTGTTTGAGCATACTATTGCACATACTATTGCACATACTATTGCACATACTCTTAAGAACCTAGAGACCTGTGGCTGTTCCTACCTCCCAGAGTCCATAGCCTACTGTGAGGACTGACAGGCAACCATCATTTACCAGACCCTTTGATAAATGTCCATCAGTCATAGGCCTTTGGGATTCTGAGTACTGAACTGTTTTCCATCAATATCTGGCTCAGGGGCCACCTCCTCATTCCCTGGGTTTCTTGCCATCTCCATAATGATGAGTTTCATGATCAATCATAATGATTTGTACATGGGTCTGTGTTATCTCCCACAGGGCAAGCGCTGGGAGGATGTGTACCCACTGCCTATCTGGTGGTACACACACGCAGTGAGCAGAATGAACCCCACGTCTAGGTTGCTTAAGAAAATGACCTTTAACTTCAGGTATGTAAAGTTATGAAGTCAGAAGAACAGATAGACAAATAGATTCTGAGCTGACCTTGTTCCCGATCCCTGGGTAATGAAGAGGACATTGGGCAAGGCATTCGCTCCTCTGCCTCATCCTTCCTGACTGTTCAAGGGACTACTCAACCTTCCAAGTTACAATTATAGAAGGAGTCTTTAGAAAAGCCATACAACTATGAAACATACCAAATTCTACCCAGGAGGTTTAATTCCCAAAGAGTGTGTGCCCGAGAGATGGGTGGCCATGGCAGGAGACTTACACCGGATGCTTGTTGTACATGATTGGCAGAAACTCATCCACTGGCAGCATCTTCCCAAAGGGATCCGCTCCAACAAGCTTCTGTGCTCCTTCCAAAGAGATGGCGTAGCCCAGTGTCCAGTAGGAGTAGTCAGCTTCAACCAGATTTACAACATTGGGCACCGCTTTCTCTGGCTCTTTGACTTGCATTCTTTTCCTGCCGATGTAACTGTAAGGGAATGGGGGCGAGGAGAAATGTTCCAACTTGGTATTAGGATACTGACTATTAGAAGAATAGAGCACACATTTAGTTTGAAGCGATATTTTAAAGCCTGAACCCTTGTGTCTTGTGCTAATCTCTACTACCGCAGAGAACTTTCCGTCAGTATCCATTACTGCTATTGGTCCTCATGAAGTCAGTCCCCCAGCTCCGTTCATCAGCACCCCAACTACTCAGCCCAAGTGGTCTGTCTTTAAGCCAGAAAGGGAGGATGCGAAGAGATGAAAAAATTGCTTGGATGATTTCCCAAGGATGATATGGGATTTCCAGCTGTGTTTAGAGAGGTTGGAAAGAAACAAAAGAGGCCAGATGTGGGAATCTTGAGTTTGTTGTCTTCACGCCCCCAGACTCTCAGCCTCGGATGCTTTCTGCACCACTACCCAAGTGCTGGTGTGAACAGAATAGAAAAGACTGTGGTAGACAGAGTTAGCAGTAGAGGGTGCAGAAACCCAAGAGGAGCCCCAAAGGCTTCCTTCTGGACGGGCTGAGTGACAGCTCTGAAAGCCTTCCCCCTTCACACTCTGCCCATGCTCTGAAGAAAGCACAGAGGCATGCAGAACGAGAACGTATTCCATCTTCAGCTCTTCTGGGGACCGCACACACAGTCACGGTCATTTCAGACTGAAGAGTCTGAATTTCTCGTATGTAGTAGGAAAGACTCTTTCAGTAAATACCTGAAATGTGACTGTAAGAGCTGAGGAACTGAGTTTGTAATCTTATTAATTTAAATTCTAATTTAGGTTGTGCCCCAATGGACCCACCTCCAATACAACTCCTTCACTTAAGGTTCAGGGAACATCATGGCCGAAGGGGAGGCAAGATCGTACGAGCCAGAAGTTATAGGATATAGGGCATGCATGAGATTGCATGCCCCAGGAATGTGGGAAGCCACACCCATGGAGTCTCCACAACGTGGTGGCCTACACAAGACCCAAATGAGGATGACACCAATAGGCATGCCAACATAGATGGGGGAAATCTCATGGGGTTTCTAACCTAGATAAAGAACTACAGTCAACTAAAGAATACCCAGAGCAGGAGAAAGAGTCTCCCCACCCAAGGGAAGAACCCCCAAATTGGGTATCCAATACCAAGTGGTCAGCCCTGAAGAATATACATACTCATAACATTCTACAGACTAAACAAGCTATATTTAGATATTTAGGAATAAATATATAAGATGTACATATATGTAACAGCAATTATAGAAGAGGAGGCAGAAGCCATGAATTTGAGAGAAAGCAAGGAGAGCTACATGGTAAGGATTGGAGAGAGGAAAGGGAAAGGGGGCAACGATGAAATAATGTCATAATTTCAAAAACTTCAAAAGGATTTTAAAAATAAGTTAAAATTTTGATATTTTAGCTCTGTAAAATACTTTTATTCCTGCAAAGCAAGTAGCCTGGTAGGACTACAGTTGAACAGTTAACATTTTATTTTCTGGGCATAAATGTGCTCCAGGTGTAATTATCCACAGTCCTTAAAGATAGTACAAACACCATAAACTATCTCATTAGGGGCTAAAAATATTGCTTATATGCTAAAATAGATGATATTGGGATATATTTGGTTAAATAAAACTTATTTATTTTTTACCTTTCATTTACTTTTTTTTATTTACCTCATTTATTTTTTTAACTTTCAGTGTGTTCAGAAAATCTGAAATAACATATTTGGCCCACACTGTAATTCTTACTGAAGAAAACTCCCAGATAAGTCCAGCCATTGTCTAGATGGTCGCGATTTATTATTTTTTTTTTTCCTGGAAACAACAAGACTGATAATCACGGATGGATGATTAGCTTTTATGTTTGACTGGAGTAGTTCTTCATTAAAGCAGCTAACAGTTCTCTAAAACGTGAATCTGTGACGTCGTAGAATACCCTTTTACTCTTTCTGTTCTTGTCAGGACAACTGTCCTTCTTTCTTGGGTCTGATGGTAACTCTGGCCTGAGAGCACACCAACCCTGCCACCCACAAGAAGGGCTCTGTGCTGAATCTCTGTTTTAGGTGTCCTGGACTGCGTTTTCCATGATTATTGAGTATCAGTCAAAGTTGACTTTCCGCATGTCACGTGAGCACAGCGTAGCTTCCAGTCTGTGTGGGCAGGAAGTTTTCCCACAGGAAGGGCTGAGGAGCAGTGATTTCTATAGGCTGGACCCGTGACCTCAGCAAACTGTTCAGGACAAGGAGCGCATGGCTCAAGTCTGACAGGGGAAAGCCTCTTTTTATTACATTGTACTGATTTTTGAGGTCTATTTCCTATGAGTTAATTGGGCCATTGCTGGGTTTCCTTTTAAGCTCAGGATGGGCCATTTTCTGTGAAAACAGGTGTTCCACCAGTGATGGAAGAGGGTTATCTGTCTATTGTGTTATTTTCATTGGTCAATAAAGAGACTGCCTTGGCCCCTTGATAGGACAGAAAATTAGGTAGGCGGAGTAAACAGAATAGAATGCTGGGAAGAGGGCTATGAGCCAGACACCATGGAGCCAGCCACCAGGTCAGACATGCTGAATCTTTTCCGGTAAGCCACCACCTCGTGGTGCTACAGATTATTAGAAATGGGTTAATATCAAGATATGAGAGTTAGCCAGTAACTAATTTTCTAGAGATAATGGGCCAGGCAGTGCTTAAATGAATATAACTTATGTGTTATTATTTCTGGGGCTAAGCTAGCCGTGCGGGAGCTGGGTGAGGCGAAAAGCAGGCCTGCCCGCAGCCCCTTGCTACACACCAGGGTCCAAAATTATCTTCCCCGATGAGGATGGAAGGGCAGGGAAAGCTGGGCTGTTTCCAAGAAGTGGGCTCTGATTTGACAGTATTACCTTGGGTACACAGCTGGGGACCTTGGAGTGTTTCTGCCTCGTTGGAAGGAACAGAAAACATTGAATATTTTACAAAGAAAGAGAAGGAGAGAAGGGGAAGAGAAAGGGTAGAAAGAAGAAAGAAAAGATGTTAGCTTAGAGGCAAGAGATGAGCATTAACTAACATCAGCTCAGAGCCAGCGCCCCTCCAGGGAGCCTGGCTTCCTGCGGCCAGCCCAGCTGTCAGTGTTTGCCTTTGTTAGACAACCCCCTCCCAGCAGAGGAGCTTTCTTCTGAGCCTCCCACACCCACTCCATCAGGGACTGCACAGGCTGCCCTGTCCTGGGAGGTGAGCTTCACGTAGGAGGTAGCCCTTTAATGAATGCCCCCTGCTCCCTCTCCACACCCTACCCACAGGCCACTTGGCTTTGCAGGTGAAATTTCCATGGTCCTCCCAAGGGTCCTCAGGGCTTCTCCACTGCTCGGTCAAGAGGCCCCTGATAGGCCAACGCCAGTCTCACGGAAAAAAAAAAAATCTCCTGTAGTTTCTCACCTTGGACAGTAGGTGGAGGTAAAAAACAACTGCCCAACCTCTCCCTACTTCTTATTTCTGGAAACATCTATGGTGTGAAAACCACAGGAATGGCAGGAAGCCTACATCAGGTCTCCTGCCCACTAGGGAGGTGGGCTTTCTGTGCCTTGGCAAAGACTGCCTTTGTGTGCTATCTGTCTAGTGACTCACATCAGTTCCCAGTCCAGCTGAGCCTTGTCAATGTCATCCATCAGCTTCATGAGCTTCTTCTTAAACTGGTGCTCAAAGCGCACATCGTCCTCGATGACGAGCGTCTTCTCCAGGTCCCGGTCAATAACCTGCAAAGGCCACCAGTGGGGGAAGAGACTGTGTGAAAACTTCAATACCCATTTTATTTGTGAAAGCTCCTAACTTGGATCCAAGAACATGTCTGTGGACAGCAAGATGTATGGATGACGGTGGCGTATGTATAGCCCTGATCTAGCCCTGTAGATAGACGATCTACAGCTCCATCAGTGTTACAGCGGTAGCAGTCTGGCGGGTTGATGTCTCTCATATGCAACAGTGAGGGGTCACAGCAAGGAAGGGACAAAGACAGGCCGTACCATGCTGTCAGACGTTAGGATGGTGATAACTCTTGGGGGAAGAGTGACCAGGAGGCTGTGCAGAGGGGAACACCTCCGGCACGTGTGTCACCTGTTTCTTGATGCCAGTAATTATTAATATGGGTATCTTCTCTGTGTGCAATTTCATTGATGGTACCTTATGATCTATGTATGTCTACATATTTCTGTACATTTTATTTAAATCTTAAACAAACAAAAGACTAGCGGGAAAAAAAAACTGGATCATTAACGGAAAGACAGCACCGAGGGGTCTGTAGTTCGGCTTTCCTTTCCCTTTCGCTATTCCTTTCTGGTGGGAACTGAGCCTCATTCATGGACCCTGCACTCTGATGCCACCTTAATTAGTGTCTGGATGTGGAGGACACAGACAGGGTCAAGCTGTGACTCGGACTCTTCTTACCCATCCTTCCTGACCCTGCCTCGCATGCCTTCTGTGTGACTCTTGTATGAATTCATTTGATAAATGATAGAGTGACAGACACACACTAACCACTCCTGTTTGTGGTGGAGATGACCTAAGAAAAATCAAGTCCATACGGTGTGAATACCTTCACCTGCCACCACCCCACATAGCCCTGAGGCCACCGTCCAAGTGTCTGTGTTGCTGGCCTTGGGCTGATGGGAGGCGCAAAGCAAGAGCAACTCTCAAGCTTGCTTCTGAGACGCCGTAGGCTCCTCTCGCATCCCATTCTAAGCCACCTGGAAAGTTCCATTCTCCCTCTCCCTCGTCACCAAACTGTCCCTCTAAGTCATTAATTACCTCTTTCCAGACAGAGAAGTGACTAAGGAAGCAGCCAATTTCACCCCGCGTTAAAGGCCTGGAGGAGTAGGGATCACGGTAGCCTGGTAGCATCTCAATGTTCCAGGCCTTCAGCTGGCTTGTGTTGAGAGCCCTGCGTGATAAAGAACATGCATGAAGATATCTAAGTCGAAGTGTCTCCACTCCAGTGGGGGGGGGGGGGGAGAGGAGGAGGAGGGAGGTAGGGAGGGAGAGAGAGAGAGAGAGACTGCATGTTTCCTCTGAGCCTCTCTATACATGGAGAAAGTTTCCTAAGTTTCCTATAATCCTCTTGATGCCCTCAGGGCTGGTGTACCACAGCAGCAGCCTGAGTACGATGATGGTAAAATGACCTCTTCTACATGCGTGCATCCTTCCCAGTGCCCAACATGTTTTTGCTTTGTTTTGAAAAAGTACTCTCCTAATGAAGGAGAAGCAATTTATAGGCCCATTATATCCCAGAAGGGCCGAGGGCCGAAGAAAGTAATGAGAGGAGAAACCATGCTCATGTGGCATTCCTTTGAACCTAAAACTAAAACAAGGTCCAATATAAAAATAACACAGATAAATTTTCCAAATGGTGGAGTGCCGGTCTCTCTATAAAAGCAACGAGGCACTGGTGAGAATGGCCGCCATTAGTTTTCCGAAACCCTGGAAAGTAACTAAGGTCCCACAATAATCCACAGAGTATGTGTTAAGGCAAACAGCAGACTCTCTTTAAGCACAGTTAGTTTTGTGCTTAAAGGATTTTATCTTTACCTCAATTGAATTCCTTTCTCCCCAGTCCTACAGCATCCTTGAACACCAGCCACCTCATAAAACCGTGAGTAGCTGTGAAAACTGGGGTCAGATGGCCGCTGAAGTGACACGGTGGAGGGGGACTCCCGGAGGACCTGTCCCTAGGACACCACCCCTACTCAAACCAGGCGTCTCCAGAAGCCCCATTCTCAGAGCCTGTCTTTATTTGACTGGATTGTGGGCGCATTCTCTGTGAATGGTCCTCTCCGCAGGCATTTGTCCAAACTCACTTTAACATTAGATTCATCTGGGCAGCATTACCAGTTAGGTCTAAGGAGAGGCTACCCAAAACAATTCAAAGGAAAAACTGAGGACTAAGATGTTTATAATACGGGTTTTGAAAACCTTTATTATATTTCTGAGAATCTGGGAGACAAAACTATACCCAAAGCTGTAAATTTTTCCAGAAAAAAGTCCCAAAGCCCTCACCTCCTGTTTGAAGCCTTTAGAAGCCAGAGGAAAGGGTAGTGACGGCAAATGTATTAGACATGGCAATCAGCAACAAGGAAGTTTAAATAATCCAATTATATGCTGTTCACAAGAGACAGGGTTTAAATTCCAAACACAAATAGGTTGAACGTAAAAGGCTGGAAAATGACACGTGATGTGAACAGTAGCCGTAAGAGAGATGAGGGGCTGTATTAATATCAGAAAACACAAATCTTCAGAGAGAATATTTTCTAAAGACAATGACACAGGACTTACATATAAATAAAACTTGACTAACACTGCAAGCCAATTAGACCTAAAGACATCTGCAGAACACTCCATTCAATGATAGAAAGACACGCCTGTGTTCAAGTGTCCCTGGAGCATTCCCCAAGGAAGCCATGTGTCAAAGCACAAAGACCACAGAGACCATAAATCAGACCTCTGTATATTAAAACGACACAGTGGAATGATCAATAACAATGGAAATTGAGAAATTCACAAACCCATGAAATTAACACACTTCTACATACTCTATGGCTAAAAAAGAAATCAAGAGGGAAATGAGAAAATATTTTGAAATGAGAGAAAATTCAGGATATTGCAACTTAAGAAGTTTATAGCTGTAACAATCTAATTAAAGAGAAATACATGTGACCTAACCAACCATTTTTGAAAACTAGCAAAAGAAAAGCAAATTAAACTCACATTAAATAGGAAATAGAGAATAGTACATCCTAAAGTGGATAAGTAAATTATAGAAAATAAAACAATACAGAACCCACACACGCACCTGCTTATTTGACAAGATCAGTAAAAACCGACAATCTTTTACCTAGACCCATAAACAAAAAAGTAGTCTCATTTACTATTAAATTACTAAATTCAAGAATGAAAGAGCAGGTATTCTATTGACCATATAGAAGTAAAAAGGGCTATATTATAAATGTTTGTTTGCTAAAATTAAAAAATAGATTAAATGGCATATGTACACAAAGGTGAAACTACTGAAATTACGTAAAAATAAGAAATTTTGACTATGTCTAAAACAAGGAAAAAAGACAAATTAGTAATCTGAAATTTTCCGCAAAGAAAAGCCTAAAGCCAGATGTTTACAGAAAAATTAATAGACATTCTTAACAACCTTTTCAAAACAAAGAGAGCAGGAGGGAACCAATCCCAAATGATTCTATGAAGCCAGTATTATCTGAAACAAAACTAGAAAATGACAGACCAATATTCCTATTAAGATAGATGTAGAATCTTCAGGAAAATACCAGTACGTAGAATCCAGCAACAAAAGTGAGGAATTGTGTGCATGAACAGGTGAAATTTTTTTCCAGGATAGAAGTGTGGTTTAGCAGGTGAAGATGTGGCAAATCAGCATGTCATGCTGATGGATAAGAAGCTATGTGATCACCTCGATGGACGATGCATCTGACCGCTTTCTTGTTAAGAAATTACAAGAAAAGAGTAACAAAGATATACATCATCACCTCTCTAAAGCCGCCCCCTAACACAGTACTCTCTAACACAGAGAAAACTACATGCTTTCTCCCTGAGATCAGGAATATGATCTTATGACATATGACAAAAATGTCAGTTCTCGTCATTTCTTTTGAATGTTGTACTCAAGGGTATAGCCAGACCATAAGGCACAAAAAGGAAATGAGTGCTACCCAGATCAGAAAAGAAGAACTAACACTTTCTCCAATTGTAAATGACAAGGTCTTGCCTACAGAAAAACCAGAGCAATTGGTGTACACACACACACACACACACACACACACACACACACACACACAGAGTTGCAGAGTCCGTGATGATAAGGATACAACACCAATAGTGTTTGTATACATTTGGAAATAAATATTCAAAAATAAAATTAAGGAAATAATTCTATTACCATCAACAAATGCCAAGGGACAAATTTAACAACGTAAATGACTTAAAAACTGAAAGCAACAAAACCCCATTCAAAGAATTGATGTAGATCTAGTAAGTTAAATAGCTTGTTACGATTCCTGGCAATCTTCAACTGATCTGTAGATTTAGTGCAACTCTAATCAAAATCCAAGTGGTGTGTATGTGTGTGCGTGTGTGTGTGTGTGTGTGAAGCAATTAATGCTCACAGAACATCAGGCACCTATGATAGGTAAAACAGCCTTGCAAAACAATAACAAAGGTTCAGGACTTGCACTTCCTTACACACAAAGCTACAGCCATGAAGTCACCATGGTAGCGGCATAAGGGTAGATCTATAGATTAATTGAATGAAATTAAGAGGTTTCTTACATTTATGACCAGCTCATTTTTGACAAAAACTCTAAGGATTCAGAGGGTAGAGTGCAGTGTCTAAAGAAGTGGTTTAGAGAAACTCAAATGACCACATGCAAACGAGAAGGGAATCCCTGCCTCACACCATATATAAAACAGCTCAGCATGGATCGAAGGCTTAAATATAGGAGATAAAACAGGCACACACCTGTAAACCCCAGCACTCTGGAGGCTGGGGTAGGAGAACAGTAAGTTCAAGGCAGCCTGGGTTAGAGTCAGTTCTCGGTTTGTGTGACTTTCTTGTCACATTTCCAGGAAAAAATGGCCACTGTGGTCAGACCCGGAGGAATCTAGGTGTCTCACACAACGGGATACATAGGCCTTTATCTGCTTGGTTTGCTTGTTTGTTTTCTTCAGACCGGAACACAATTCCAAATACACTCCCTCTTCTACATGAGAGGAAACTGGAAACCACCACAACCCAATGACCAGAGACAGGGAAATTCCATCCAGCGGTGTGAGAACCAGAGGTCACTGGCTCGGGAGTGGGTCATAGACCCACTACACAGGCTGAAGTGAACATCCCTGCTGCTATGGGCATCCTTCTTAGCGTCTGTCTTCTGTGGCCCACAGCCCTAGAGGACCCTCCCTCCAGGACCCTTCGCACCCTGCTCCAACCACATCTGCAAGGGGACAAGTAGAAGACTCACTTCCCATCCACGGCCTCCACGATCTTGACCTCAATCTCCTGTTCATAGAGCGTGCGCAGCATCCTGTCACGCCGGTCCTTCCTGCGTTTGAGGTTGATCATGAAGATCTGATGTGGGAAGCAGAGGGGGAAAGAGACACAAGGGGATCTAGGTTTATTTCAGGTTAATTGAAAAGCTGAGCAAACTAATGTCAGGGCCAGAGGGGTTTGCAGGATAAGGAACGGGAAAAAAGCTACGACACAGCATTGTATTTCCTTACTAGGCTCACTGGGGCAAAAGCTAGTTATCAAAATGGAGCTGATTTCTAAATGCAGCCATCAGCAGTGGCCTAACCTGCTGTCTCCCTGCTATTCACTGATAAATGTATTCTCCGTCCGCTTGAGAAAGTAAAGCTAAAAAAGTTACTACCCAAAAGGCCAAAGGTGAATTAAACTGCACGCATACAGCGCTGATGGGGAAGACGTGGTTTGCCAAATGGCTAAATCAAACCAAGTGACCAAACGCATTGGTATACTTGTGTACTTAATGCTGCCACTTGCTGTCTGTCCTAGGCCTGTTGCTCCTATGCCTCAGTTTCCTCATCAGGAACTGGGATCACTGTGGCTCTACCCCATGAGTATGTGTTTGGTATCATCACAATCCACATCCTAGGTAAAGTAAGCCTTATGTCTTTCAAAAACTAAGAAAAATCGGAGACTCCATATTTTTATCCCTCAAACTTCCAAAATCTCATTTTCAGAAGCTCCCCCCCCCCACCTCCCAAATTCTTCAGCTCTCCAGAGCTAAGCGGAAAAAGAAAGTGAAGAAAATGAGGCCATTCTCTTGGGGGGTTACCCTTGACAGAGGAGAGAGTAGTGTACAACACAGCTTCGGGTGTGATATTTGTATGGTGCTCTGCAGAGGACACATGCTGGCTTGTGCAGAAAGAAGGATGTGCACGTCGAGTTTGTGAGCGGGGGCTGAGTGTCCCTGCACCCCTCACCTTGGCCTGTCAATACCTGATTGACAGAAGTACTAATACATAGACACCACAAAGGCCACGGAAGCCTCGTGAACACTGCTGCAGGTAAGCTAGCATTTGACATTTGCTTATTTACTTATTTAGTGGGTATGCTGTAAATGAGTGGCTGTGTGTGCCGTGGCGCAGGTGTGGAGGTCAGAGGGTAATCCACAGGAGTTAGTGCTCCCTTTCCATGTGAGTCCCAAGGATCAAACTCGCGTCTTCTAGCTTGGCACCAAGTACTTTCATCCGCAGAATTATCTGACCGGTCTGCAAGTTAACATTTGAATAAGGACCTCTTACTACAAGCTCTAATGAACTGATTTTGAATATTAAATGATTCAAAATTGGGAGATGGTAGCTGCCAGCGGGAATTAATGTCACAGCGAAGGAGGAACTTACAGGAATAGGGCAGAGGACACTCATTTCCTCCTGATTAAGCAGGGGACATGGCAGAGGACATTCAAACCCTCTGGATGATTCTGGGGAAGACATTTAATGCCTCTGGGTCATTCGCTCTGCTATCTAGAAAAGGAGGGGTTTGAATAAACCCACCCCTTAAGCCCTGTACATTTGAAAATTTGTTTGTATCTGTTTTATAATAAAGTTGACTTCATCCTATAATCAGATTGGGGCTCAGATTATTACGGTATTGAGTTTTGGCTCCATGAGCATCCTGAATATAATTTTAAATATATGTTTCAGGAGGATCAGAAGTTATACTAACTAAGCCTTCAGTTTTCCCTTGCAAAATAGTCTCTCTCTGTTCACACATAGATTCATGGGAACAACTGAACCCTTTTGTAACATCTCTGTGTGATGGGAACTCGGCAGGCACATGGCAGCAGGATTTAACTTCTGGGTTTACCAAACTGGATAATTATTAATAAAACAAAAAAATGGCCATGTTTGCTGTGTGCGGTAAATTTGGGATTTTATAGCTTAAAGCGCTGGTTTCTTTCATGCTTTGTCTTCTCCTGTTTAGAATCCTGTCAAGGGTCATGTGCTGTTCCCAGGTTTTACAGACATAGGAAGGAAATGGCATATCCCCTGTGCAACCACAGAGCCACTTGGGGTCACCCGAGGAGACAAAGCAAAACAAAACAAAATAAACGGAGAAGCATCCCAAAAAGTCCCCTGCAAACCAGAGGCCTCCCATCGAGGAAGCTTTTAGTAAATAATAGTCCCGTCCTGGGCTCTGCCAGGGCAAGGGCAATGAAGTGAGTAGCCACGAAGGAAAAACACAGACGGCTCGCTCATACTTAGTAAACACAGCAAAGAACTGAGTGCCAAATGCAGCCAGACACCAGCAACCAGGTCACAGTATGGGAGGACGGAAAAGGCCTCTGACACCCCTTTTCCACAGCCCATGTCTGGGACAGACAGAGAGATGATTATCCCCGGCTGTGGAAAGTGGAGTCCCTGCCTGCCTCACCTTCTAGGGCAGGCCTAAGGCTGCCCAAGGCGGAGCCAGATGGTCCTGGTTTTGTTTCATTGGCTGTGATTTGGTCTTCACAGAAATATGACAGCAGGAGAAAAAAGGGAGGTACTGAAAGACGCTTGAGCGCTCTCTCCTAGGGGATGAGAAGAGTCCAGAGCCCTGGAATGAGAGCTGCACTCAGTGTGTGTGTGTGTGTGGGGGCAGCCCACCCCAGGGAGAGCCCATCCCACCACATCACACCACACCCAGGTAGGGTCCACCCACCGCTGTGGTACTGGTCAGCCCACCCTTGTAGCACTGGTCAGTTTTGAAAACTATTTACTATTTACTATTTTTAGTAAATAGAATTAGACTCAATAAGGTCTATTTATGCTTTGTCACATTTAAATTCATCTCTCCTTTTTCTGCCTTCTGTGGAAATTGCACAATCACTATTTGATATTCATGAAGTACCCATTTCAACTTGGAAGTCTAGCTTCAAGTCAGTTTTGTAGAGGAAAGCCCGATTCCTGCTTCTTTAGCGCCTTGGGATGGATGTGTGTTGGGACACAGGTGTTAATGTTCCGATGTGATAAGGCCTTTTGTTCCCGTTAAAGTGTACCGAGTTCAAAGCACAATGCTTGGCTTAAATCCAGAGCCTCTGAAAGAATTCTGTCTCAGCTTGTGGCCTCCTGGAATGTCACAGCTCCAGACCACAGAACTCCTCAGTACTGACCAGCAACCACATAAGGGGCCAGGAAGGGCTCCGCGACACAGACTCACAATTCTAGCCCTGCTAGATTTTGCATGCTGTTTAGATTTTCTGTTTACATGCTGCCAAGAACAGTGCCTCTGTGTAGTCTGCTCCCTCCCTCCCTCCTTCCCTCCCTTCCTTCCTTCCTTCCTTCCTCCCTCCCTCCCTCCCTCCCTCCCTCCCTCCCTTCCTTCCTTCCTTCCTTCCTTCCTCCCTTCTTTCCTTCCTCCCTCCCTCCCTTCCTTCCTTTCTTCTTCCCTTCCTCCCTTCCTCTGTTTCTCCCCTCTCCCTCCCTCTTCTCTTCCGCCCCCTCTCCAGCCCTCTTTCCCATCCTTCCCTTTCCCTTTCCCTCACCACCCTTCTTCTCTCTCCCCATTCCCTACCTTCTTTACTTTCTCCCTCTCCTTTCCCCTTCCCCTTTTATTTGTGGTGCCAGGAATTGAACTCAGGGCTTCACTCATCCTGAGAAAGTGCCCTACCATTGAGCTAACCGCCCACTTCTGCTTCGTTGTTTTTATCCATACAACTGCATGGTGTACGTGGCCCTAGGGAGCTATCGAAAGGTCCTGCCTGCCGAGAGACAGAATTTTAGAACATGCTTCTCTCTTCATTTGTGTTTTGATTCTGCCCTCCAACTTTTTTCCATGGAAGAAAAGCAGAAAGAAAACAAAGCATAGAGTGTTCTGGAATAGCTTTCCATCCACTCACCTATGGCAGAATAAAGATGTCTCCAGAACAGAAAATATATTTATCTTATCCTCGAACCGCAATAAGAAGTTTGGTAAAATACATAGCAAATTCACATACGTCGCTAAACAATTCTTTTTGATTCAGTTTTCTCCAGTCCTCCTTTGCGAAGACCAGAAAACAGAATGACAACAGACCCAAGTCCTCGGGGCCTTCCCAGTTGCCAAGCATGCCTGCTTTGTCTGAGACATGTTTGGTCTTCTAGTTCAACATGAACACACATGTGCGTGTTCACACACACACACACACACAGAGAGAGAGAGAGAGAGAGAGAGAGAGAGAGAGAGAGAGAGAGACAGAGGGAGACTTTCCTACCTCATCAAATCCCATCTTGTCTGGATACTTCGGGACAACTGACACAAACGGGGAAGGTTCTATTGGAGGTCGGTCAACTGGAAGGCAGAAGAAAGGGTGCTTTGTTAGAGGAGGGCCAGGGAACAGACCTGTTCCAGCCCCACAGTGTCGGGGACTGAGACCCATGCTTGACACTCAGGGCGGGGACAACTGTTGTGCAGTACCCCCCAGCACTGTTCATTTCTTCATTCCACACCCTGTCCAGATCCGTTTTCTCATCTCGTCCTTGTCTTCTCTTCACCAATTCCAGCCAGTTTGTATCCCTGACATTGCATTAAAGTGCTTCTTATGAAAGCTGGTGGCAGAGCACTTTCTCTTTCTCCTCTCCTTTCTTTACAGGTTCTCACTCCGTAGCCCAGGATTTTCTGGAACTTGCTATGTAGCTCAGGCTGGCCCAAAACTCTTGAGTCTGCTGCCTTAACCTCCCAAGTGTTAAGATTCTAGGCACGAGCATCTGGGACGGCGTTCTAGTCTGACATCACTGAGGGTCACTCCTTCATCCTCATTTCACTTGGCCTCCCAACAGCTTTTGGCTCTTTCTCAAAACATACCTCCTTATTAATCCCCAGCTTTCTGGCTGCCAGTCTACTCTGGGGATCTGTCCTCCTTTGTTTTACTACATGAGGTCACACTGTTCCTTGGCTTCAAATATCCTTGTGCTGCTAATGATTCCCAATGTCTCTCTCCATGGATTCTCTTCCTTGAATCCAGAGATTCACATATCCACTTATCTCCTGGTCTCTCTGCTCCAACATGCAATAAATACTTCAGGCATATACAATGAAGTGAAGACTTTTTTGAATCAGTAAGTTGTTCGGACCAAAATGTCGGAGTCATCGTTCCTAATTCCCTGGTTGCCTTACGGACCGCCTCCAAGCCTCTGTGAGTACAATGGACTCTGCCATTAGCATGTACCTTAAGCCTGTCTGCTTCTCATTACCTCTCTGCTACAGCAGGAGAAATGTATTAATCCCGTACACTCTAATACCCACACTACAGCTTAAGCGATCTTTCTAAACACATAAATCACATTACACCACCCAATGAGTTCACATTGCTCTTAGGATAAAATCCAAATCCCTCGCCGTGGGCAGTGTGTTCTGCATCCGTCCATGACTTCATCTCCCTCTACCCAGCTCCTCATTCCCCACCATGTTGGCGTCTGGCCCTGGAACTCTCCCAGAATTTATCCTCTCTAATGGTCTTAATATGTATTGTTCTTTGTGCTTAAATCTTTCCCCCAAAGATTCATGCAACTGTTTCCTTGATATATTACCTGTATCTTTGATAGAATATAAGTTCTTGATGGCAAGATTTTTGCTTGATTTGTTCATTGCTGTATTTTGTTACTATGGGAAATTATACACTATGCATGTGTTGAGTGAATATTTATAGCCTGACTTTTTTCCCCCCTAAAGCCTTTATTGGTACTTTAGGATGGATATTCTACTTTTTCTGGACTACCTACTTAAGGATCGTATCAGTCAAGCCACTTCAACCTTTTTAGCTTTATTTACTCCTAATATTTTAACCTTCTTTCTTCCCAGATGGAAATTCCTTGTCTGCTCAGTCTCTTCCCTCACCCTGTAGTGTCCTGCCATACCAGTCCTCTTGTTTGAGCTACCCACTTCTATCTAGGACCAGCTGAAGAGGCATCGGGGCTAGATGTGACCACACAGGTCACAGTAACTTCTCTCTGTTCTAAATTCCTATTGCCTTTGCATCTGCTGCATTCACAGCAAACTATACTATTGGTGTCCTTTTGATATTAGTCCTGTCTCTCCAATTAAACTATGATCCTCTGAAAACCGAGGGTTAGCTATAAAATGTTTTGACTTCCTAGTACCTTTGTGGATTGACTCTTATCACAGGTATGGATCCCGCATGTATTCATTAAAGATTATATGTTCTAACAGTTCAATCATTAATTCCTTCCTTTTTTCCTTCTTTCCTTCTTTTCTTCTTTCCTTCCTTCCTTCTCTCTCTCTCTCTCTCTCTCTCTCTCTCTCTCTCTCTCTCTTTCTCTCTTTCTTTTTGTTTTTTGAGACAGGGTTTCTCTGTGTAACAGCTCTGGCTGTCCTGGAACTCGCTCTGTAGACCAGGCTGGCCTCAAACTCACAGAGATCCTCCTGCCTCTGCCTCCCAAGTGCTGGGATTAAAGGTGTATGTCTCCACACCCAGCTTCATTATTTTCTAGTAACAATGCCAGTAGATGATTTCTACTGCCTAGTGAATATCCTGTATGGTTTAATTTCTCATTCACCTCTATTCAGAGATTTTTACAGCTATTATTTCATCATTACCAGTATTTTATCCTTCCATCCACAGATTTGCATTATAACCATCAACCTTTTACCTCTAAGTGGAATAGGCATTAAGGGTAAAAGACAGGTTGCAATGGATACCTTATAAGTTTATTTTTAGACTCCCTGAGGTACCTGTGGGCTTCCAGTTGATTTAAAATTTCAGTTGTATCCCATGTTATAATGTTCAGGATGTGAACTCTTAACAAAGCTAAAAACAGATACAGTAAATGCATGCATTAACTAAAATGCCACAAATGCATCCCTTAGCACGTGTGTAGTCATGTGCAAGGGAAGCATAGTGAAAGGTGGGACTCCCAGGCTCTTGTCATATGAAGTTCACCTGGTTAGAAAAGGGATTATGTGTATTTGGAAGGTGTGATCATTAAGATCTTGTATTGATCATGCATACGAGAACTTTCCTCATGCTCAAGATGTGGAGGAACACAAGAGAGCACAAGGTCTGGTTGATCACTCTGTGCGCTGACATCTACTTGGAAGTCAAGATCGTCAGCCATGAAATGGCAATAATAAGGTTTGGCACTTTCATGAAATGTTAAATGGAGACATAATAATTGCTGCATGGAGTCATAATAATTATCACACTTCATTATTTTGTGAAACTGATTATAAATATTTACATATATATGAATGTAGTTGTCACACTTATTTTGTGAAGCTGATTATATGTGTATATATGTAATTATCATACTTCGTTATTTTAATTAGCTGATATATATTATATATATTAAATATATATATAGTTTGTTACTCTCAATCCTGCAAAATTGTTATTGTCACTTTACAAAATGAAAACAAAGCAAAAAAACCAAAACTAAAGTGATTCTCTTTTCATGAGTGCCAGAGCCTGGTTTCAAGACGTTTTTTCTGGGTCCAGGTTCAATGCTCTTGTCAATACCGTTTTCCCTCACTTATTTATTTATTCAAATGTCTGGCCGTACACCCAGGAAACATTTATGTGCTCCCAACTGTACGCCATGCACTATGTGAAATGTCTGGGATACAAGGCAACAAGATACCAAGTTTGTCTCCTAGAGCCCGGGACACATGAAAAGAGGCAGAAACAGCACACAGTGAAGAAACTCACAAAAGTGGCGCTGGGGAGATGGGAGATGGTTCAGTAGGAAGGACGTACACGTAAGCATGAGGACCTGGGCTCAGATCCCAGAACCCAGGTAAAAAGCCAGGCATGATAGTTCATTCTTATAACCACAGCGCTGGGGGCTGGGGGAGGAGAGAACCGCAGAGACTGGCGGGCTTTCTGAGTCAGTCACTGGTCAGACAGCTCAGCCCATCAGTGAACTCCAGGTTCAATGAAAAGACTGTCTCAAAAATAAGGGTGGAGGGTGACAGAGGAAGATGGACTTTGGTCCTCTCCCTCCACGTGTACACATTTACATCCATGCGTACACATGTGCATACATCCATGAACACACACACACTGTACACACACAGAGGGAAGGTTCTTGAAAAGGAATCCTAAGGGTTGATCCAAGAATTGCTGTCAGTGAGTCAATCCTCATTCTATCATTAATTCTGCTGGTCCTCCTCTCGGGCACCAGCCAGTAACTACGGGTATCTACCAGGAGGCAGTGAGCAGTACTCTATGTCCTGAGTCTAACACAGTCAAAAGTAGTTTATAGGTGAAGCGAATTGGGAAGCAGGTACTCCCAGACAGCTCAGTGGGGCTACAAAACAAAGCTGTGGGCTTTCCCTTAAAATTTCTCTTTTGTTTTAAAAGCCTTAGTCCATTTAAAATTCCTAAAAGTGTCTAGACATTGGAGATTTTCCTATACATACCTACTGTTGCTCATTTACCTGTGGCCAACTCTTGGCTGCATCTTCTCACATCTGTGACCTGATGTCTATTACTAGATTTTAAAAATTCTTTTCCATTTCTGGAAACAATGCTTTAGTTCTAATTCTAATTATCCTCTGCCTAATTCTCCATGAATGTCCCAGATTTTCTTTTCAGCTCTGGTGTAGACCAGTACTCACTGTTGGGTCACGACCTGCTTGTTCATCCAGTTTCACTAGAGTGACCTCTCAAAATCTGACTTTCAACCTGATGTCTCTTAGCTCAAATTCCTTCAAAATTCCCTTCCTTGCACAACAGTCCAATGTCTTAGAGGTTAGAATCATTAGAGGTTCTCTGCTTGGGCTCCTGGCCGTTTTCCAGTCTCCCTTCTCACTGTGTCTCCTACCCACCCCCACTGTGACAGTCACAGAAGCGATTCCTGTTGGGCAGCCACTGCCAGCACTCCCTCCAGGACTGATGGGTTGGTTACCTTTTCTTCTTTGGCCACCAGTAAGTTTAGCTACTGATGATCAAACACACCGATTCTGAAATTATGCTAGACTCAGGGGCAATGACCATACAGAGCTTAAGGGCATGGGACTTGGAGATCCCGAGTTTGGGTCAAATCTATCTGCTATCAGTGGACTGATAGAACCATCTGTACTTGAACTTCTTCAATTTTATTTTGGGGAAAGTAGTTCCTCTTCATGGAGTTGTTGTGATGATTATTGAGAGAGTATATGTTCCAACATAAGCTATTGCTAAGTTAAAGTTATAATTGCTGTTCTTGTATTAGTGGACACACACAGACACACACAGACACACACACACATACACACACACACACACACACACACACACACACGACTTTGCCCTAGACCTTCAAGAAGCATCTTTCCCATAATCATATAATTAGAAAGTAGCAAAGAGAAGATTAAAATTAATTTTATGCAACACTATTCATTTCCTATATCATAGGACAAGCATTTACTCATAGATGCAGCTATCTACTAAAATAAGAACCTACCCATAGGCGATGACTTTGTTATATTTGTAGCTCATAAGAAAAACTTAGGAACTCCCAGACAGATGACTATCTGTGGCTCATCTAAAAACAGTGATGGCCATGAGCTATCCGGCCAGGAAGAGGAGAGCCCCGCTGGCTTGGCTGCTGTGACAGTGAACTAGGCGTCACTGCCCTGCATCCCCAGTCACTCACTCATTGCTTCTATCTGCACATGGATGAGGTTCTCGATGTCTTCCTGCAGTGTCTGATGGGGCTTCAGAGGAATGGGCAGGTAGCCATAGTGCTCCTTGTTGCAGAGGTACATCTGGATGCCTGAGGATATGAAAGAGCAGAGTCAGCCAATCAAAACCCACACTGTTTAGTAGAAGAGGAGACCAGACTGCGGCTGACACTGAGTTCAACACCGAAACTGAGCAAATGGCTTGTTTGGGGGGAACTGACTAGAGAGCTTCACAATATTCTTTTATTAAAAATTTGAAATGCAGAATTGGGGGCTCTTTAAAAACCCTGGACCATCCTTCGGTCCAGAGGAAATTGATTTTTCTTTCTGAAGGACAAGCACATTTGTGGCCTGAAATGAACACTATAAGGCATGAAGCAATCAGACAAGAAGGAGGAATTCTCATTCCAGAGAGCAGAACGGAACAGTGTAATCTGCCTACAGGAAATAATAAGAAGATGAGGAATGAAATCCATATTTGACATGAAAGCACACAGGAAGATCCTGTAAGGCTGACAGATTATTAAAGCTAAATCCAAGCTCACAAACACAGTTAAGATACAAAGGAAATTTATAATTCCCCACGATTCTTCTTGGTTTTATCTTTTTTCCCTGTGCTGGCATGGATTTGGAGTGACCAATGAACAAAATTCTCAAAAATAAGTTCATAAAGGGACAAAAATAACCCTTCCTATCAAGAAGCTGCAGCATGGCAGAGGCAGCAATGTCATAGTTCTCTTCCACTCAGTTCTAGGATCCACAACCCCCACCAGTGAACTGGGGGAGCTAGAAGGCACCTCTGCTCAGTTAGCAATGGGGACTCAAGATGGTCTCACAGCTTACTTAGGTACGAGGACAAACCTGTCAAGCTTGGGACCATGTCCCCAAGCCTCTGATGAGTTAATTGTCACAATCATTAGTGCTTTCCTGAGGAAATTATCCACATTGTGGCATTTTCATTTGGGGCAGATGACATTTCCAGCAGTCAGCTACATCACCCGCCAAGCCAGGTGAGGCTGTCTTGTGTGATTAACAGAGAATGACGAGGAAAGAAAAGGGCCTTTGTCCCCCACCTTTCCTGATCCTGGTTGGTCTCACTAGGCCCTGTCTTTCTTCAGTTGAACTCACTAGCTGTGCTAGTTGCTCACATGAGTGTCTCTGGAAATTACAAACCAGAATGTGACATTTTGCAAAGTTGTAATGAACTAAGAAAATAGAAAAAAAAAAGATTTAATGTTTAGGTTGCCTCTCCATTCTAGTTAGATCGACCCCATTTTGCCTTTTAATGTCCCAAGGCTTCCATATAAACAGGATATGATACCTAGCCAAACTATCCATCAGCAAGCAGGTACAAGAAAAACATTTTCAGACATGAAATGCAAGGTAAATAAAACATTTACCTTCTGTCACACTTTCTCAGGAAGTTACTAGATGATGAAAAAAGAGAAAAAAGAGGAGGTAAATAAGAAAGAGAAGGAGAAAGATCACCATGTACAAGAAACAGTCAAGACACAAGAGAGGCGACACAGGACAGAAGCAAACTCAGTCCCCAGTTGATGGCTGTGGCAGCTCTGAGATTAGAGTGTATCAGAAGAGTTCAAGACAGGTATCTAGGAATCTTCTAATATGCACAAGGGGATGGCTGATAATTATGAATAAGAGTCTGAGAAAATAAATGAGTTTTCAGTTGCTTTAGTGATGACTCTCTTTCTCACCCTCTCTCTCTCTTTGTCATATCCCTCCACACAGAGGGAAAGAGAGAGAGAGAGAGAGAGAGAGAGAGAGAGAGAGAGAGAGAGAGCTACTAAGTTTGACAAAGGAAAACTTTGTAGGAATCTTGGTGTTTTAGGATCATGTGATTATAATAAAAATCTGTAGCATCTTTTTAGAAGATTTATTCATTTTTACTTATGTGTATTTGTGCCTATATGTATGTTTGTGTGCCACATGTGCGTGTGCTACCCAAAGAGGCCAGAAGATGACGTTGATTCCCCTGGAACTGGAGGTATGTGCAGTTGTGAGTCATCATGTGGGTGCCAGGAACTGAACCCAGGTCCTCTGCAGAGCAGCACATGTTCCGAACTACTAAGTCACTTACCCAACACAACACTCAGCATATTAAATTACATGGAGAGGACAATGGGATAAGGAAGAATGTGTTTCCACATGGAAGGCCACTTACTTATTTGGCTCACAGTGGGTTATTTGGAAGCTGCCTGGCTAGCACAGAGGAAGACTCCTGTGGCCACCATACACAAGTCTGATCCCTAGCTACGTGGGAGCTAAACTCTTACCCCTGGCCTCACCATTGCCACAAAGACGTGTCTATAACCCTCATGGTCCTGCCTGGTACAGAGAGACAATTTGCTTCTTCTGGTACATTTTAAAAATAACGTTCTGATGGATAACACATATCCAGAGAATTTTGAAACAGTGGAAACAAAATAATACCAGCTATTTTTCACCAAGACTCTGTCGAGAGAGAGAGAGAGAGAGAGAGAGAGAGAGAGAGAGAGAGAGAGAGAGAAGTGTTTTCTTTGGAGCAATGAGGAAACGAAGAAGCTTGAGATGTGGCATGGGTTACAGGTTCCTTCATACTTCTGAAAACAGCAGTGAGACATGACCTTAGACTGCACAGCTGCTGAGCAGCCTTCAGGAATTCTCTCCTGCCCTGTTTGCATCAGGACCACCAGTCTGGCCCTCAGCGTTCATAGGTGTCAAAAACTTAGTTATGTTTCCACAGCTAAGGATCTGAACTCCCCGACACTTATAGACACAGCGCCAGACATAATTGTAGGACCTCTTTCCTTTTCCACCCCTTGTTTTCCTTAGATAATCTGCCAACAGTTTTGGGCATCCCTATCTGCCTGTAATAGTCCACGAAGACATCTAGGAAGCCCGACAAACAATGCATAAAGTTCTGGCGAGTGGGCCATACAAGCAGCAAAGATGAAAAGTTCCAGTATAGTCTGCATCGAGGCCTAACACCTGGGTGTAGGTTTAAAATGAAAATACCATCATTCACTCCCTGGGTTTCAGCGATGATCTGTCAGGCACCGGCCATCACCATAATCACAACAGCTCATTTCTTGGAACATCTTTGCTTCAAATTCTGAAGCAAAGGCTTGGCAGAACTTGCTGGAATAGTAAAATCCCTGCCTCTGCTGTGGCCCTGGAGAAGTCAGAGTAAATTATACACCAAGAAGCAGCTTGTGCTAATATGGACAGAAGAACATTCGTGCAAACTTCCAGACCAGATGAGAGCCCTTTCCTTCACATAAGGCTCCCTAGGTGACTACATCTGACCAAGCAGTCTAAATTCTTCTACCAAACAGGAAAAAAAAAACCAGCCTTATAATTTCTACAGCCTTATAATTTCTACAAAATATTCTCCTTCTTTTCAGATGTACCCATGTACCCATGGGACATCCGTGACATGTGTATACTGCAGCTTGGGTCTGTGTTAGCATCCTCATCTTCCAGCAATCTCCCCAGCTGCCGAGGAGCTTTGCAAAATCGTTTTCACCATAACTTATGTAGCCATCATGAGTTTATTTCGCCTTCTCCTTGGTTTCTAAACTTGTTTTGTTAGAGGCTAAATGACACAATTCTAACAGGCCCTGGCTGCTGTCAGGAAGGCCTGAGGTACTTAGGAGAACTTTGCCTTGGCAAAGCCGTGAACCTTCCTGAACTCTTGTTGTGACTCAGTCTTCCCCAAGGGAATGGGAGGAAGGAAAAAGAGGAAAAAAATAGAAAGAAAAACAAAACACCTTTCCTTCATATTGACATGGCTTTTTCAAGAAACCCACACAGTCCAGGGGCCATGGTAACTCAGCAGGTACTTAAGGGTGGCTTCGCATCTCCCTCCACAGAGATGGAGGCTGGGACTGCTGGCTCCCTCTACTATCTGTTCCCAAGAGTGAGAGAGCTGGGGTTTATGACCACACAGAATAAGGATGACATTCTGAGCCCCCCTCCCAGTGAGCCTCTTGCTTGGTTCTGGCAAAGGGGACATGCATGGAAGTGCTGCGTTCAGCCTCTGAACTGCACTCTGATGGGACAGAGTCCCATAGTCTAGTTTCTGCCTTAATATATGGAGCATCCCTGGTGCTGAGGCTGGATCCTACAGTTAAGGGCACTGCCTTCTGAATTACAAAAGGATAGTGAGACTGAGTCTGGGCTGCTGAGAACTGAGGGGCGGAGCCACTACAGCACTGCAGATTATTGCTGAGAAGAAATAGTTCCGTTTGTGAAGCTTGGAGACTTTGTCCTAGGTTCCAATTTAGTAAGAGAATTCTTATAATTAGCAATAGCATAGCAATCCCATCAGCTCTAGAGAGCCAGTGAGATTCGTCAAGACTCTCGTTATCACCGTCTCCTCATCAACTCAGATCCTTCCCAAAAGGGAGAGTGGTCTGGTCTTTTTTCTTTTCTTTTCTTTTCTTTTCTTTTCTTTTCTTTTCTTTTCTTTTCTTTTCTTTTCCTTTCTTTCTTTCCTTCTTTCTTTCTTTCTTTTTTTTTTTTTCTGAGGCAGGGTTTCACTATAGTTTTTTTGGAGCCAGTTTTGGAACTAGCTCTTGTAGACCAGGCTGGCCTTGAACTCACAGGAATCCGCCTACCTCTGCCTCCCCAGTGCAGGGATTAAAAGCACGCACCACCTGTGCAGAACCAGCCCTGGCTCTTGATCTTTGGTGCTTAGGGACTCTGGTCTGGTTACTACAAACAGTACCTTGCTTCTCACAGACTTGAAATTGAGAAAGAGGCATTTTTGAATATGCACAGGACACAGGAGCATGCCTTTTGCAGTGTTCTATAGTAGCCTACAGCCAAGCACAAACAGTACCTGCTTGCCTGCTGGAGAAGGCAAAAACGATGATGTCATCAAAGGTCCAGGTGTAGTCCTGGTGTGGGGGGTAGAAAGCCAGCTTGGTGGAGGCTTCTTTCCTGAGGTCAATCAGGAAGGTGGAGTGGACCATGGGGACGGGGAAGCAGCCCATCCTCTTCCACTCTCTAATCTGAAGGTAGTCCGGTGTCCGCTTATAGAAGCCCTGGAAGACAGCAAACGGACGGACTAGATCCTCTCCTCTGAAAGCATCGTCACCCAGGCATCAGCTTAATAGAAATCTCCAGAGCGTCTCCACTCTCCTTATCCTCAACTAACAATTTCTAAGTGAGCCCCAGTAATGGATCAGCATTTAAAACACAGAGGGGTTTTGATATGGATTTTGATATCAGGAACCATTTTGATCCAATTTCTGCTGATTTAATAATTTTACCAAGTGTAGTAATATGGGCTTATGGTTAAATATGAAGGATTAATATTAATATAAAAGGGGGTACAGCAGACAAGCATGAACACATCCTGGTTCTTGAACTCGGGCCCTCTAAGTTCAAGCCTTACCTCAGCCCCTTATTGTTCATAGGTGTCTCAATCCTGCTCTGCCTTTTCCCTCAGCTCGGAAACAGGGACAGTCAATACTGTCTACTCTGGAGGTTCTCCCCCCATACAATTAAGTAAGATTAAGCTATGAAGGACCTAGAATAATGTCTAACATCAGGAAAGTATCAACTGTTATTGGCTAGCATTGAAATGACTATGTTATACTTGGCTGATGTTTCTGAAACATATATTATTTTCACATATGTCCCGGACTTTTTTTCAGTGCAATTGATGGCTTGATATTTCAGTGAAATTTCAACTGCTTCACACTTGGGGGGGTGCGAATTCCTCCACCCATGTTTTAACACTGCCTCCTGTATGAAAGCACTGGACAACCCATCCTCTCACTTTGTGGTTTTCAATGACTCCGTTTGTTTTTCATCCAAATTTAATTTCATCCAACAAATACCAGTGGAGTGCCTGCTGTAATCCAGGTTGAGATAAATGATGAAGAATTAACGAAGGAGATGGTACAGGATTATCCCATGTGGGATGTAGAATCTTATAAAGGATATCTACTCCAGTAGTACTAGTCGTAAAGACCATGAAGGCATTCCAGGAAGAAGGACAATATATCTCACTAAAATACACTTTAAAGTGTGTAGGAGCTTTGAAAGGCCTTTACAGAACATGTGGTCGGAGGTGGAGGCTCCGTGGGTCGACTGGAAAGTTTCACTATTGTGAGGTACACAATGTGCAGTGGATACACACGTTTCTAAGTATATGGTGCATCTCTAGTTGTGATGTCAGCACCATGCACCAGGCACTGCATCTTCTACTTCTACGATACGCCTTTCAGTGTGTAGAAATTAGCTGAGCTACTTACCCCACCATCCCATATGATAAGGACAAACGACCATCAACTGAAATGCAGAAGATGTGAGTCTTATAGTCATCCTAACCTCTTGCTAGCTCTTTGATCTTAGAGCACCAGTTTTCCCTAATGCTCGAGCCTATAGGAATTTTAAAAGGGATAATGGGGACATTGGTTTTTCATAAGGCTCCCTACAGACTCAAATTAATACTGTTAGGAGTAATAGTCTTAGGATGAGAAACTTGGAAAATTTAGGAAGACAATGATTCATTCAGTATCCTGAGAGAGAGGATGGTAAGAAAGGAAACAGAGTAAAAAGAATTAACATGCTTCTCAAAGACAGGTGGACACAATAGTTGTATCATTATTTCAAAAGAACTGAAGTTTATTGATAATAGGTCCTGTTCATTAGCCAGGCAACGCCAAAATGACTTTGTTTTGGATGTGTTTAAGACCTTTGGAAAGCAGGGCCGCCTTGCTCTTATGAAGTCATTGGTCATTTCCATTTCTGTCCAAGTTGAAAATGGACCAGGGTGGAAGAAAGCCAAAAATAGATGAGGATGCTTATAATTGGCCCAGGTTGCACAGAACGGAGTTTTGCTCTGCAAAATAAATGAGCACATTCCTCCTACTCCCTTTTAATAAGGAAAGAACAGACTATTGAAAGCTGCAGTCACTGGGATCCCCTCCTCCCACTGCTGGTGCTGGTGGCAAAGCAGAACTCATTAAAAACAAGCCTCAAATGGTCCTGCCACGTGGAACATTGCAGACTGTTAATGTGAGTTTATGCTAACTTAATGTTTTCCCCAAAGAAACTGAGTAAACTTTCTGCACATCAACTTGTTGTCTCCTTCAAAGACAAGTGGATGGTAAGAATCACTCAAAAATCTCTTAGAAACAAGATGTTGGTAGATTAAAATATGTAAAAACAAAAGTCATGTCAACCCTTACAGATCTGGTGAAAACTTGTTTTTTGAGACAAGGTCTTACAATGTCGCTTAAATTAGCCTTGACTTCTTGTTTCCTGTTTCTATTCTGATTGAGACAAAATTTCATGTAGGCTAGGCTCTGACTTCCTTATATAATTGAGGATGACCATGAATTAGTGATCCTTCTTCTCCTATTTCCCAAACTCTGGGATTATAACATTCATCGTAATGCTCAAAGGGCCTTAAATCAATCCCTCCCTCCCTCCCTCCCTCCTTCCTTCCCTTCCTCCTTTCCTTCCTCTCTCCCTCCCTCCCTCTCTCCCTCTCTCCGTCCCTCCCTCCGTCCCTCTCTTCCTTTCTCTCTCTCTCTCTCTCTCTCTCTCCCTCCCTCCCTCTCATTCTATTTTGCATTGTGTATCAGTTTCCTCTAAGATTGAAGCATTCTATCCTGCAGGAAATCTTCTTAAACAACTCAAAATAGCCTCAGGAAACCCCAGAAACTGACCAGATTCACTCAGCCCCTCCCTGCAGGAGCTGCAGTAAAGCAGCTGGGAGCCATTCTCAGACCAGCCAAGCTGCGAAGACCCTGGGATCAAACTTCTCTCCAGTGTTGAGCTGCCCTCATGCAGGCTGTACAGGGTGCTCCCGGTTCCCAACTTTTGTGCACTCTCACCTGTGCTGGAGTAGGCTTTGGTGATGCACCATTTTTGAGTCATTGCTGCTCCTGTAAATAACTCTTCACCTATATTCCTATGAGAAATCTCAATAAAACTTAAGATTCACCAAGTTGGACTTTGGTGGTTCATTTGTCTGTCATGGGTTCCCTATCTGGGATGAATAGATGTATGTGTACCATCTCCCTGGGAAAAGTCTTGTTTGTTACACAACATGTGTCTGTGTATGTGCATTATACACACATGCACACACACACACACACACACACACACACACACACGATGGTGTGTACACATGTGTTTGAGGAAAATGCATGTACCCATAAACACATATGGAAGGCAGGAGGATGTTAGGTACCCTGTTCAACCATTCTCCTTCCTATTCTTTGAAGAGAGGTCATCTTAATGATGTTGAAGTCAGGATAGTAACCAGTGTTCTGCAGTGATCTTACAGGCTTCATTCCCAATAACACTGGGGTTACAGGCACACATGAGAACATGTTTGGTCTTTTACATAGACAGGTCCTCATGCACACACAAGAAATACAAAGCCATTTCCCCAGCCCCATACTCTGGAATTCTTTATCTTCCTGCCTCCTGCCTCCTGAGTACTAGGTCACTGTGCCTTCCTTACTATATATTTTTAGTAACTATATCACTATATCATCAAGAGGCTATATTGCAGTTCTTTGTATGAAAGGAGTATTTATATTGTAAAAATTACATTATAAAACGTGCTACCAATTAGGGTCCCTCTGCAAAAGCCAGTTATCAAGTATCCATCATACTGTTGGCCCCATTCCTCATCTAAAGCCAAACCAAACATAAAAAAGAGAGACAAAATTTAGCTTTCTGGCCATGAGGACACATTTCCCCCTTCATTATGTTGTTGTCTTATATGGATACATTATATTGGTGAGTTTAATTTATCTGTCTAATTCACTAAGAATTAAAATAAAATACTTGGAGGCATTTACTGTAACAGATATCTAAAATCTGAGATTTTACTATAAAAAATAATTAGAAATTCACACTTTTACCTTCAATTTTTGAAAAGCAAGCTTCTACATCAGTTTCAATCATCAGATCACTATGGAAATAAATTTATCAATACATTATAAAAGATTACTGGAATACACTTTTGTGGTGGTTTGAATGAGAATGGCCTCCATAAGGTCATGTTTAAACGCTTGGTGCCCAGGTAGTGGAACTGTTTGGGAGGGATTGGGAAGTATGGTCTTGTTGCAGAGGGTCTGTCACTGGGGTAGATTCTGAGGTTTTAACAGTCCCTGCCATGCCCAGTCTCTATCCCTCTTCTCCCTCCCTTTCCTCCATCCCTTCCTCCCTCTTTCTCTATCTCTTTCTCTCTCCTCCTGCCCCCAGATCATGTGAGCTCTCAGCCACTACACCAGCACTATGCCTGCCTACTACCATGCTCCCTGCCATGATGATCATGAACTAACCCTTTAAAACTATAAACAAGTCCCAAATCAAATGCTTTCTTTTAAATTGCCTTGGTCAACTTTTAGCAATGTTTGTGTCTCTTCATAGCAATAGAACAGTAGCTAAGACAAGTTCCAAGAAATTATCTTAAGGAAATCATATGTAGATGTAAAATACTTGCATCAATGATGATAGTAATTCTAAATGTTAAAATGCTTGAAAACAATGTGAATGTTCAAATAAGTAAATTATAGATATCATTTGGTCATGATACAGTCATTAAAGAAATACAAGTGTCTATCTATGGTGTTAGTACAGCTGTGGAATGAATATTTTTGGCTGTTATACTTTTTTAAAAGAATTTTTGTACTTCTAAGTTTTTCCAATGTTCTCTTATATTGACGTTTTAACTGCAAAACAACAACAACAACAACAACAAAACCCAAATTAACTAATCCATAAACTGGATAAAAGGGAAAACAAAATCTGTTATACTTGTTGTTAATTGAAGCTTCTAGCACTAAGCTCTCTGGAATACTCTGTTGATAATAATGCCCACTGTGCTGTGGCATTTGATGTAGGTTTACCTCCTTTCTTGAAAGTTCTTGCTTCAGTGACACTACGACACAGGTCTCTAAAAAGGAGGTGAGAAGTGGGGCAGTACTGTTGACAGGGCCCTGCCTTCAACACTCACCTCCTCAACTAGGTAACCAAAAGACTTGCCTGAGGTGTGATCCCACACCAGAAGTTAGAGTACAGGCCTCGGGACTCCAGCATGGGGGCCACAATGGTTTTGTTCTCTGCAATCATCAGGGTCAGGGTCTGCGGATTCGTCAGGAAATTGTCGACATCTATGAACTAGGAGAAGAGAAAGACAATGTCAATAACTCAGCACATGAGATCTGGGGTCAGTCCTTATCTCTACCCTCCTTACTGAGAACCATTGCAGCTTGGCAGCTTTCATTCAGTCAGATGCATTTCGTCTAACTTCTCATGTTCAGCTCTAAGCTGTGAGCTGGTGTTGCCACAGTGCGTACAATATGCAATCAATAGGACACAATTTATACATTGGTAAGTGATTTAAATTCAAGATGTTAATGGTTCCTACAGACTCATATAAGTATATACCTGTTGCCCACTCTCAGTATCCAGGGATCGACCTATTTAGGTTTTCAACAGTAGTGTCAAAATGGCGCACACAGACCCCCAGTGCTGCTACAATGTCACAAACAGAAATTTTGTTTAAATTATAGTTTATCAACCCATACAACCAAGTATCATATTTCTCAGCAGAAAATTCATGTGAGTACTGATTCATTTACAGAGACAGAATCAGATTCTATCAAAGAGAAATGCTTGCTTTAATAAAGTCAAAACAATAACTTTATATTTTATGTAATTGCAATTTACAAATAATCAGAAACACTTATGGCAATCAATTTACTTACGAAAAATTTTATAGTTTATCATTTGTAAATTTTATTAACATTTTAGTGGTTGCATATAACATTAAATATTATAGTACAATTCACATGTGCAGACAATGTTTCTAAGACATTATCAAGCTGATTTTTAAGTGGACAAGGGACCAGGGAGTGGCATAGATTAGAAACGCTCATATCCTGTGAGAATCGGAGTCTAGTGGGGGCGGATACCAGTCAGTGTACTAATGATAACACTGACATCATTTCTAGTGCTGCCGTGGAAAATATGTGCTCAACAAACTCGTGGAGAAAAGGCTCTGTCTGGGTAAAGGATGATGGCTCCAGTTTCCCCTGGCAACAGACATCCTTTCCAACTGAGAGGGTTCATCAAGAACGAGGGTGCATGGACTCCTCATCACCAAGCGCTGTATCTGTTTGAATTTCTTGTCAAGCTCTCAAGACTGTGATTAAACCCCCTCCAGGACAGAAATTCTATGTGCGAGCCAAGTGGTATCCAGGAAGACGAAGAGGAGATTTCATTTAGCAAATCAGCCCACGGTTAACGGGGGCAGAGTTTCACAGTGTTCATTTCAATCTCATTCTATCTAATCGTTTGCTCATGTCTTTAAAACTCTTACAAAAGTCACTAAGACATTTGATCTTGCTTCACCTACTAAAATGATTCAGGATCTCGTATGCCTGTGATATGAAAGCCTCGCCATCCACACAACTCACTAAGAAAGCATCCCAGAGGGGATCCGAGGTAATGCGCAGGTATTGCAATACTTAATCGCCAAAAATTTCCCTGAACTTTTCACGGGGAAGGTGATGCCTAAGCAGAAGCGTGTTTTGACTGTTCCCTGGTATCCCTACGTGGTTACAGATACATTTTGGAGAATCAAAAGCTGTCAAGGAATCAAGCATCTGTTTTTACCAGGATGTAGTCTGACCATTTTTCCCTCGCAGTTCGAAGGGCTGCTTGTCGCAGTTTCATGACATGGGCAAACCGGGAACTTGGCCAGTGCTTTGGTCCGATTTCATCAGGGTAAGACCTAAAAGAAGAACATACAGTCATTGAGAGCCTGGACGGATGTAGCCCGGCCCTCAGTGTTTGTCGGCACCGACTCTTTCCTCCTTCACTCTAGGAAGCGGGAACAAGGAACTAGTATTATCATCATTTCTATACCATAGGTAAGCAAACAGGAACAATGGGAAACTCAGGGATCGAGAGTCTTTATATGAAAGACATCAGTGGGTCTTCCTTCTCTTTCTCTTCCTTCTTTGAGGTGAAGTCTCACTATTGCTGAGGCTGATCTTGAATTCCTACATTTAAGTATTCTCCGGCCTCAGTCTTTCAGTTATAAAGCATATAACTGCTGCTGTGTCTGGCTTTTCTTCAGTGGGATTTAGGCCTTATGTAGTAATCTTGCTATTTTCTCCAGTTCAAAGATGAGGAACCTGATGCAGAGCGGCTAATGTTACAGTAAGTGGTACCACCTGAATTCATATCCAGGCAGTTACTACCAAAGCTATATTCTTAGATGCTTTATATATTTTATCACATAAATGTGAAAATACAGGGTAAAGGTATGAGTTTCTTAAGAAAACCAAAGATTTAGAATACTTATTGAAATCTCAGTAAATGGTTCAATGAAGTTTAATTGATCTATCTTATGTGAGATGAGGTGATGGAGCAGGCACATAACATTCTAGTGATTTCTGTTGGCATTCATAAGAAAGCTGGGCCAAGACTCTTAAATGGCCACAAAAGCAAAGACTCAGTGAATGCTCTAGATCCATCTGAAAGCTCTCAGTGGAGATGGATATGGATGCTGTCACTGCAGCTGGCCAACTCTTTGCATTCTTGGAGGTGTGTGAGCAACGTGTTTGCCTTAAGGAATGAGAAGTCACAAACACCGAGACCGTCGCTATGCAAACAATGCTCTGTAATTAATAAACTACATGCAACACAGGGATTATCTGGGATGTCTTCCTCAGTTACTGTTCCAATGGAAATCAGTGGAATTCCTGCTTTTCTGAGTAGATTGCCAAAAATAATGCCTTATGAAATATTTTTTTTCACACTGACCTTGGCATGTCTTCTATGAAGTAAAAATCTGGCTATAGAGAACTTGGCATCTGGGAAGCCAAGTAGGAACATAAAGTCTACCTGTGTAATTTTTTAAAGTTGGGTTAAATTCCATCAGAAGAAATACCAGAGGGATGTTTAAAAGCTTTTATAGTGTTCGAACTTAATTGATAAATATGCTTAAAATATAGACCATAGATGGGGATTTTAGATATTGTGTATACACGTATCTATTCAATGTGTGCTTGCATATGTATATAATCGGGTCTATGAGAATACATATGTTCTGCAATGGCATTTGTTATTATTACTATACACATTGCTTTCAATAAATGACTTTTCCTATACAGAAACTCAGACTACTTCTTCATTCAACTTCCATAAATCCTAAAGTTGGAATGATAGTGGCCTTGGGAACATTTACAATTTTATGTTTTAAATTTATTTTTTATTTTATTCACTCATTTGTTCATCTACCAGTTTTGATCTGGTGCCTGCATCAAATACATCAAAACACAGCATCGAGGGAAAATATAAAGTGTTGGATACTGCAATCCCTGCCAAAAGCTCACAGTTCATTTCAAAAAGCTTGAATAAATTGTAGTTAATTAAGGTTAGTTCACTGTATTATGTCAAAAGGATATCATAAAAAATAAGCAATTGGGGACTGGAGAGATGGCTCAGCAGTTAAGAGTACTGACTGCTTTTCCAGAGGTTCTGAGTTCAATTCCCAGCAACCACATCATGTATCACAACCATCTTTAGTGGGCTCTGATGCCCTCTTCTGGCACGTACAGATAGAGCACTCATATACGTACGAAATAAATCTTTTAAAAAAGAAAGAAGATAAGCAATCTAAAAGTAAGATCTTTACATTTGAGAAACCTCTCTGCTTTCTCTAGTATCTGTGATTTTGGATCAGAGCTGGTTACAAAGAAAGATAAACACTTCCAGGACCTGCCTCGGTAGGAGTTGGCAGTTGGAAATAAACTTGACATTCTGGGTAAAACATATTTTCTTTGCGGAAGAACAGGAAATATGGGAATCTTAGATGTGTTTGAACTTTGTTCTGTGTGTACTTGAGTCTTTGCAATAAAGACATGAAGTGATTTCATTTGTTTCTTATGAAGATTTCCATGGCAGTACGACTGTGCTAGCTGATCCTGATGCCCAGTTTCACTGGGCTGGGAGACACCAAGGGGATTAGTCTGCGTGTCCAGTTCCAGAGGTGACTGGCATGCAAACCAGCTGGCGGGGAAGACCCACCCTAACTGTGGGCAGCACAGCTGGAGATGAGAGGTCCATTCAGAACAAAAGAAGAAAAGGAGGAAGCCAGAATGTGCGTGGAGGCTCTGTGTCCCCCAGCAGGCACTGTACTCCTTCATTCAACCTTTGACCCATTCAACCTCTCAACAGAGCTGCAAACCAGTAACTCTCCAGCTGTTCCCAGCCCTTCAGCTGGGGCTGACTTCATTTTCCTTGTCCTAAATTTTCCAACCTCATGAATTGAGAAGCTCCTGGTTTCTCTGGCTGTCGAGCATGCAGACAGACAAACATTGTTGGATTATCTCATCTAGAACCTATACACCAGTGTAAAAAGTCACCACACACATACTATTCTCTGTATGTACTATGCCATTTTCCCCACTAGTGTTTTTTTTCGCAGGAGAATGAAGAATAACATAAATATGTGGGATAATTAGACATTGCTATGTTAAGACTGAAATAGCTTATATGTTCATCGTGAGCGCATTGACTAAATAATCACGATATATATGACAGATACCACCCAATCCAAAGTGAGTCAGTGCCCCGAAGATTGCTGTGCCGTAGTCTCTAAGACATAACGTTACAAAGTCAGGTACCTATGGAAGGCATACAAACTTTCACCATGATTTCTTAAAAATAAAACAGTTCACACTAGAAAAGCAATACATAAAACAATGTTTAAGATATATCCCATCATCGTAATTTATAAGCTGTTGAAAACCTTGGCTGGCAGCCCAGGAGTAAGGCAGGAGAGTGGGTGGAGAAGACCCTGTTAATAGAGGAAAAGGCCGAGTTTGCAACTCAGATGCAGAAAGGGTAGCAAGGGAAGTCTGCATGCACCTCCAGATCGGAAGCACAGGTGGTGGGAAAGCCAGGGCCAGGGGAAGAAGAGTTTCCACACTGCTACTCACTCGGGGGCATCCATCGGCCTCCACTCCACGTAGTGATACTGCCTCTGGACGTTTCTCAGCCACTCCCTGAGTATCTCTGTCGTGTTATCCACATTGTGATCGGTGGCTGCCCTGCAGGACAAAAAGCACAATACGATTCAGTCACATCATTTAAAAAGAAAACAAGAAGGAAGAAACATCTCAGAGACTCCAGATTAACTGAAGGAGAAGGAGGAGTTCTGGGAGGTGGAGTAGGGAGAGCTATGGATAAAGTAATTCCCATGGACCACACTAGAAGGACATCTGAAGCGAGAGGTGCTGCTTCTTGTCATCTTCGTGTTGTTAGGACACAAAGCAGGGCTCGGCCAGCTGTTGAATCCACACGTGGTTCTATCAATAAACACAAGATAATGCTAAACCTGCATAAGTGCAAAAACGGATTAACCTAGAAAGTAAGTTTGCTATCTAAGATGGAAACTCTACTCTAAAATTACTAAGACTTACCTTTGTTTAAGCAAAAGATGACTTTTATTTTCATTTCAAATCAAGTTTCAATTCAAAACAAAATCTTTAATCAGGACTGCTTTAGTCATTTGTGTGAAGGGAATTCACAGAATTTCCCAATATAAAACTCAAAATCTAAGGTAGCTTTGCCTATTGGGGGCTAACTTTCCCATCACAAAGTAGAGTATCTGCAAAATTCTTCAAATAATATATCCAGACGTATTTCTGTTCTATCTAGAAAGTTGAACATATATATACATGTATGTACTTAAAGCGAGGCTTACACGGCCCAGAAAGGTGACTCAGCTATTAACAGTGCTTGTTACACACTGATGAGGACTAGTGTTCGGATGCCAGCATCCATGGAACAAGTCAAGCATCCCACAAGAACCTGTAACTCTGGCTCCAAAGGATCTGATATCTTCTTCCAGTCTCTATGTGAGCACATGTGCATATACACGTGTTCATACACTCAGACAGACAGACACATACAAGTGAATCTTTTTTGTAAGACAGCTTAAGTGGCTTCCAAAACCAAAACTATTTTAAAGTTATATTACAAAATAAAACCCAATTCCATGCTATAGATGAGATTTGCAGCTTATTTGCACAAATTCAGCTTTAAATAGAAAGTAAAAGAGGAAAGAAAGATGGAATTGGGAGAGAGAGGGACGGAAGACTGGAAAGAGAGGTACTGAGAAAGAGCCACGGGCAGACAGGCACATCTGATGTCCTTAAAAGGCAGCAAAGGCCTAGAACTTATTGGTAATTCAGCAGCTCCTCCATGGAGGGAGAGACACTAAGACTTCAGCAGCCGGCCCTGGGAGCAGAGCCTCGATAGGAGCAGGGGCGAGTACTTCTGCCTTATATGGCAATGGGTTTTTGCTAAGCTTGCACCCTAATGGATTTCGTGTTATTTTCACTGGGGATTTTGCTCCAAACATAATAGAAAAAAAAAGAAAATCTTTAAGACACAGAATGTTCAGGAATGTACAAGACAAAACATAGCCAATAGGAGAGAATATATTTCTGTAAACTATGAAATAATTAAAAACTGTATGACTGTAAGTCATAGGTATGGAAAAATGGAAGATGAAGGCATGCAACCAGTATTTGAAAAAAATCTATCTTTTAAAATGAATATTTGAAAAACAATTTAAGACTAACTTTATTGATTTATTTTATACAAGGCAAGTGGAATGCTGCTTCAGTATTAACAAGATTTTCCAGAAGTTTCTCATAGTTTTATAATGAGAGAAAAGGAATATCAAAAATTTTACTCTGTGGAAACAATGAACTACCTTGGTACAGAAATTCTGTTAAGTCTATGACGTCTAACCATGCTTCTCAATGTAAGTTTAAGAATATTCTCTGAGTTCTTTCTTGTCAAACTCCCATTATTGAAACTAGAATACTGTTACAATTCCGGGGTATATCTTCAATTCTGATTAACTTAAGAGATCGCAAAGGCAAGTGAATATAATTCAAGGACAGAGGTACTAAGGAAACATCACATCGATAAAAACCAAATCAATTTGGAAAAGGCGAGATTATAGAGTTAAACAAAAGTTTAACTAAAGCTATTTATTAAAAGTTTAATTAATGAGGTGGAGTCAGGACTTAATGCTATCACTAAAATAAGTCACACAGATCTATGTTATAAAGCTAATTGACTTCCTAGTTCTAACTGTGTCATGGAATTTTGATGTTCGAGGTGAATAAATGCATAAAAACATATTCGATAGTGAAGGTGTAAAAGCCAGTTGATGCTCTGCCACTTCAGAATGGATGTTCTAACTAATTAAAAGTTCATTGAGATGCACAGATTTTGGGTCTGGTTAGCCTTAGTGTCTGAAGTTTTCTATTTGCAAGTTGTTGGTTTTTTTAAATAATGAAGTTCATAAAAATAGATAATTGAATTAAAAGCTGTCTTAGTAAGCATCATATAAAAGCTAAGAGCATCAGTGGCCAAACTGTAGGGTGCTTTCAGATGCCTTCTGAAATTAGAAGTAGCTCCTTTCTCTGTGAGGTCTAGAAGAGATGGCCGCCCACACGCCCCTGGGCCTTGTGCCGCCTGGAGTGGAAGAGCTGCCCAGTGAGTGGAGGAGAGGGTGAAACCAGGAACACTTAGGGCAAAGACAGGATTGTAGGAGAAAACAAACAACCGAGGAGGTAGGACATGGTTCCAGGGGAGGGATGGAAGTGCTTGTGTTCGTATACAGCTACAGCCAGACCCACTGTGACGGGGTCACGGGCTGCCACTGCCCTGGCTAACAGGAAGCCACAAAGAGCGCTGGGACATGAAGCCACTGTCTTGTGAAATGAAACGTGTGCAGAGCCATTCCTGGACCACAGAGATGTACAGCGCACCAACCTCCACTCACAGAACTGTAAGAAGAAATCAAAACAACCCCCTCTACCACAAGATTAGCCAAAAGTTACTAGAATTCTGTTATTTTTAATTTTTAAAGTATTGTGGAATAATTTACTCATTTTTCTCTTGGCTGTTGTTTCTTTGTCTCGCAGGACTTACATTCTCTTTATCTTCCTTGCATATGAGAACTTTTTTTAGTCTCTTTTTAAAAAAAAATGGTATTAAAGGAAATAAATCTTTCTGGTCTACAGATGAAACAATCCCCAAAGCTGCCTAAATACTCACTGTTGCTCTAGGAAAAATACTTGTGTGGACTCTGCAGAGATGCCCACGTGCAAGTAAAGACAGGAGTGCAGAGGGAGAGCACCCGCCTAGGAAACGCTCTCCTGGGTTGGTTCCTTTTCTTCGGCAGAAAGGAACTACTTCCCAGCTGCAGCCAAGGGGGTAGTTTCCCACTGACCTTTGATGTGCAGGGTCCATCCCTCCAACAATGAGTCCCAGAAGAAGAAGAGCAGTGCTAGACCAACCCAGCCCATGGAGGAAGCCTTTTATCTCCCACTAAGACCCCTCTAGTCCCTTGGTAATAGTCAAATACACAGAAGCCCAGGCAGAGAGGCCTAAGTACTGATTTCCAGCTCTTTTGCAAATAAGTGTTCTGTGGGTACACAATCATGAAAGCATATGGGCGCAGGGCTATTCAGAGAGGGCTGGGGCAGGACACAGGTACCAAAGGCCCGGATGCAGGTTTCCTGAAGGAAACATGAGTCTTCCATTAGTGGTTCTAGCTTCATAGTCCTGCAGAAAAATGCATCAGGAAGGGGCATGTTCCACCACAAGTTTCCATAAGGAACTGGGCCCAAAGACGTCCACCTAACTGTGGTATTTTTCATCAAGCCAGTGAAGCC